GGCATCACAGCTCACAGCAACCTCCAACTCCTGGACTTAAGTAATTCTCTTGCCTCAGCCTCCCAAGTAGCTGGGACTACAGGCACTCGCCACAACACCAGGCTATTTTTTTGGTTGTAGTTGTCATTGTTGTTTGGCAGGCCCCGGTTGGATTTGAACTTTGTGTACATGGCTGGCACCTTAGCTACTTGAGCTACAGGCGCCAAGCCGCCGTGTCTATTTTTATACTGCATTTCTGGTATTAATTCCAAGAAATCCAAACACCACAAACACAAGCTCCCAGCCTGCAGCTCTGCTGACTTGAAAGTGCCAAGGCTACAGCCTCAGAGTTCCTTGAGGGCCTGGTACGCACACGAGAGCCACCACTCTCCAGCAGGTGCATGATCCCTGAGCTCTCTCCTGTGAGGCCAGGCACAGGTATGTAGCAGAGGCAGCCCCTTTGGCCTCATTATCTTGGGCCCAGTCTCATGTGCTCATAGAAGACTGGGCACCATAGTGTGATAGGGAGGGCAAAATGGGCCTCAGAACTCTAAGGAGGAGGGGAGTGTTGGTGGCCTGCAGACATGGAGTGTGGTAGCAGGGCTGGAGTGAGGCCTGTCCAGCACTCTGGGACGCTTGAGGTCAGCAGGTGCCACAAGCGTGGAGGCTATGAGATGAAAGCCTGACACATGCAGCAGTGTTTGGGTCACAAAAGCCTAAGCACCTAGGCCATGCTGTGGCAGAGACCTGGGGGTTCTAGCTGTTGGGGTGCTCCGTCACCTCTGAGCTCGGGGCTCAGGTAGGTACCCCATACTCTTTCACATTTTTCTCAGGGAGTGTGCATCTGAAAGCAAACTGCTTAAAAGAAAAATAGAAAAAAGGAGTGGGAGAGGGTGAGCAGGGACCCCAGAGGCTACAACATGATGCCACAGAAGTCACTTCAGCATGAAGCTGGGGGAGAGCAAACTCCAGAGCAGAACAAGTGTCACGGGACAGCAGGAGGCTGTCTGATATACTGGGTCAATGCATTTGCCATCTAAGAAAAAGGTGCACTTCCTTCTTTATCTCCTACCACACAAATAAATTAGATAAATTAAGAGATACAACGTAAAAGAAAATATTTGTCTGATCTCTAGGTGAAAAAAATCCCAGAGGAAAGACTTGCATTTGATGTGACAACAAGCCCTGCAATGCAACAACATGTTTTCTGTTTTGCATCAGAGGCCCAGGAACAACCTGGTGTTTAACTAGGTCATGCTGGGAGCCCTGTTGAGGACTCTGAGTTACACCTTCTGCCCACCTGCCTGGGACTCCCTGGGCATGGGTTCCTTGGCTGGCATCCTGCTGTGTGTACCTGCTGGCCCCAGCCCCACCTCCCTAGCTCCAGCCACAGACACAGTCCCACCTTTCAGGGATGTCCAGATCACTGCACTACAGAGGGACACAGGTCTATGTGCTAATTTTGTAAACTTAGTTTGATTACAAAGTCAGAGGAAGTGGACTAAACTTCTTATAGGCAAATTCTAATTTCTCCAAAATATTATGTAGATGTTGGTGAAATGAAATTAAAAATGTGGTTGTTCCTGCAAAATAACATTATTAATGGCAACAAGGCCCTGGGGCTAAGATAGAGAGGCCAAAGCAGCCTTTAATCTGATTAAAACTGTTTATAATCACAAAAAAATGACTAGTCTGGTTACATTTGCTGGCAATGAAACAAAACAGAAAAAAAAAAACCCAGTAAAATTGAACAAGAAAAGTCTTTTATTTGTCTTGAATATTGCACCGAGGAAAGCAGGTTGGACTACAGGCAGCTCAGGGCAGGGGGCTGTCCTGTCTCTGAGTCAGGAAGGGGCAGGAGCCCAGCAAAGGCATGGGGCAGAGGGGCCAGAGCACTGAGCTAGCCTGGGGCCCTCTGGGCTGGAAGTGGTGGCTGAGGCAGATGGGAATAGGAGTGGGACGCTCAGTGGCCTGGAGCAGAGAGGGAAAGGACCCTTTCCCCCAAATCTTCCCATGTCTATAGCACACAGTGGACAAATAGTGCACACGGCCCTGGAGGACACCTGTGCTGAAATTCCACATGACCATTCTGCACAAAGCACCAGCCCTTCAGGGCACGCTCAGGGCAGGGGCTGCCAGGCACACACCGTCAGCACTTCCCAGCCCGAGGAGGCTGCATCAGTGTTTAGGTGGTAAGGCCAGTGGGTGCGGCCTGGCTCACTGCCAGCCCTGCCCTGTCTGCTGCCCACAGCCCAGATGGCCCAGGGTGCCTTACATTGTTCTCCAGGCCCTCGATGACCTCGATGCCGTTGTGGCTAAGGTACAGCTCCCGCAGATTCACCAGGTTCTGCAGACCCTCGATCTTGGTCAGCCGGTTGCTCTGCAGGAACAAAGCAGAGGGTGAGTGATGGAACAGTTCTAGAAAGTGAGGCTTCTTATCACGGAGGTTTCTAAGAAGAGGGCATTTCTCTTAAAATGTACTAGAATGAGATTCGTGTAAGGTGAAGAAGGCTTGCAATTCTATCTGCTGTATTGGGCTGAAGCTCATGGAGGGAAATCAGCAGCTTTCTAATGTAAAGAACACTCTTTACAGGTATGTGGGGAAAGTCTACCTGAATTTAATAATTTTAAAATATCAACTACTGAATATTTTAAAGTAAACTAAACATTCTCATTTCTTTCAGTATAAATTATAACTCAATGACTTTTTTTGGAGACAGAGTCTCACTTTGTCACCCTTGGTAGAGTGTGCCACGGTGTCACAGCTCACAGCAACCTCTAACTCTTGGGCTTAAGTGATTTTCTTACCTTAGCCTCCTGAATAGCTGGGACTACAGGTGTCTGCCACAATGCCTGGCTATTTTTTGAGATGAAGTCTCGCTCTGACTCAGGCTAGTCTTGAACCCATGAGTTCAGGCAATCTACCTGCCTCGGCCTCCCAAGTGCTAGGATTATAGGAGTGAGCCACTGCCCCGGCCTCGAATGACTTTTTAAAAGAAGCCTGCTGAACAACTGCCTGAGCAGATGTGACGATGTCCTCTTGCCCCTTGTGGTCACTCAGGGGACCCCAGCCAGGCCCTATCTACAGAGCACCCGGATATCTGGCTTCAGGGGTCCAATTCCACTAATTTGCTTCTAATAGAAATGGTAAATATGGGCGTGGCATACCCCGTGCTTTCTAGTTCCCAGTGTGGAAGCTGGACAGGGCTTACATTCTTTACCCACGTGGAAGGAACTGCTTCCATCACTAAGCCAAACACTTGGGAGGACTAAGAATAAGCTCAATCTTCTCCCATCCAGGCCCAACCCTGCTTAGCTTCTGGGATCATATGAGACTGGGCAAGCCTAATCTCAAGAACCCTTTGGCTAAAAACCATCTAGGACTGGCTAGGTGCCCACAGCTCAGTGGTTAGGGTGCTGGCCACATGCACCAGGGCTGGTAGGTTCGAACCCGTCCCGGGCCTGCTTAACAATAATGACAACAAAAAAATAGCCGGGCGTTGTGGTGGGCACCTATAGTCCCAGCTACTTGGGAGGCTGAGGCAAGAGAATCCCTTATGCCCAAGAGTTTGAGGTTGCTATGAGCCACAGCACTCTACCGAGGGCGACATACTGAGACTCTATCTCAAAAGAGAAAAAAAAAAACAAAAAGCCATATAGGACTATTTGTGGCAAAAAGGAATATGACCCTTGAAGGTGGAATTTTGGCAGGTGCAGTGGCTCGCCTTGGATCCCAGCACTCTAGGAGGTGGAGGCATGAGGACTGCTTTAGCCTAGGAGTACGAAACCAGCCTGGACAACAGAGTGAGACTACATCTCTAAAACAAATGAAAAAAAAATCAGCCAGGCATTGTGGTGGGCACCTATAGTCCCAACTATTCAGGAGGCTGAGGCAAGAAGACGGCTTGATCCCAGGAGTTTGAGGTTGTTGGAGCTGGGATGATCCCACTGCACTGTAATCCATGAAACAAAACAAGACTCTGCCCCAAGTTTGGTGCCTGTGGCTCAAGTGGCTAAGGCGCCAGTCACATACACTTAAGGTGGCAGGTTCGAATCCAGCCCAGGCCCACCAAACAATAATGACGGCTGCAACCAAAAAATAGCTGGGTGTTGTGGCAGGCACCTGTGGCCCCAGCTACTTGGGAGGGTGAGGCAGGAGACTCGCTTGAGCCCAGGAGTTGGAGGTTGCTGTGAGCTGTGATGCCACAGTACTCTACCCAAGGGGACAGCTTGAGGTTCTGTCTCAAAAATAAAAAAAAAAAAGACTCTGCCCCACTCCCAAAAGGGACAAAAAGGAATAAAATTTTAGTTCAGCATATGTGTGTGTATGTGTGTGTGTGTGTGTGCGTGCACGTGTGTGCCCATGTGCACACGTCTGTGGCATTTGTGTTCAGAAAGACCAATACCTGCATACTGAGAACGGTCAGATTGGTGAGTGCATCCAAGTTCTGAAGTTTAGTAATTTTGTTTTTCCCCAAAAACAAACTCTCCAGGCTGGTCAGTGTGTCAATGTTCTCAATTGCCTGTGAAAAGGACAGAGGAGTGGTCAGCACTATGCAGCCAACGAGCTAAGTGGGTGGGGTGAGTGCCCAGCTCGGGAGCAAAGCTGCCTGGGGTTAGCTCTGCAGTGTCAGGCAAGTTACTTGTCTGCTCTGGAAACTCTCTAGGAAAATCTTTTTTTTTTTGCAGTTTTTGGTCGGGAGCCAGGCTTGAACCTGCCACCTCCAGTATATGGGGCCGGTGCCCTACTCCTTTGAGCCACAGGCGCTGCCCTCCAGGGAAATCTTAAAAAATATGAAAAGCAAGAAAAATGCTGGAGAGTCTAAGGCTCTGTTTCTTGTACTCCCAATCTCATGTTCCCAGAGCTCTGGGGTTGTGGGACAGTGTGGAAACCTGGGCACTGGCAGGTTTCTTAATGCCCTCCCAATCCTAGACTGCTGAGTTGAGAAGTCATTATGACGCTCTATACAGTATTCACTAAAATGTACTCCATGAGCCTCTGTCTCTAGACAGAGACGAGATGCTGGAAGTTCTGACTCTGAGTCTTTAAAATCCTGTAATGCCCACTTAGGGTTCAAGGCTAGGTGCCCTCACACCATGGTGCTTGCCCCTTCTGCACGGTTCCCACAACTTCTCTGCCTCTCCTTGCTGTGAACACATGCTCCTCTATTTAGCCACAGACCCAGCACAGGCAGGGACAACACTGTCCTACCAGGTCTTCCCAGGTGCCCTGTGTAGAGTGGGTTGTTTAGCAACTCCTTACTGACTCCAGGCTGCCTCTTATCTAGAGTATGTTATTCTTCAAGTATTTCAGCAGACACCAAATAACCAGACTAAGCAGGTGCTAGCAAAGTGGAGCCTCCAGCAAGTGCAGAAAGGGCATCTCAGCTAGCCTGTCACAGCAGGACTTGGCTATGGGTGTGGGGAAGGGCCACCTCAAAGGCTGTATTAATTTGTGATGAGCCACGGTTCTCCTGGAAAGTTCCATAGTGAGGTACTTGATAATTGCTGACATCTGGGCTGCTCTAGAGTTTTAAATGTGCTGCATTGCTATTTGTGGACACGAGATCTCTAACAATTACTGTCAAAAGACTCTTGCCAAAACCAGCCTCCTTTGGTCTGTATCCTGCCCAAGCTCTCAAGGCCCAGCAGGACAGAGTAAGGTGTCCCGTAACACTTTCAGCAGTCACATGGGGGCTGAGAGGGAGGGGCACTGGAAACTCAGAGTGGGGAGGATGCTTGACTGAACCTCCACACAAGCCCCACAAGTGTGGGGCTCAAGGGGTCATCTGGCTGGTGAAGTGTGCATCCCTGCGCATGGGAACTAGGCCTGCTCCCTGCCTGGCAGGTCCAGCTCCAGTCCTTTAAGGATGGCTTCCCAGGCTCCCCTCCAGCAGATGCCAGAGACTGTGACACCAGCTATGAGCCAGCTGGTGAAGGGCCTACTCTTGCATCTGGGAGCACTGTGCTGCATCACTTTTCAATTCTCTTATCTGTACTCTGCCCCACAGCTTCAGTGTCAAATGGATCCTGGAGAACAGCTCTAAGTGGGCTGGGGGTGTACCCCAGGGTACAGAGGGTTTCAGTAGCAAGACTGTTTCTAAAGCTCCTGCTGAGGACACCAGAGCACTGAAGTGACCACTTTTCCGTGCTTGGGAAACCCATCTATCTCTAAGGGGCATGCTGGCGAGCCCAGCCATGAGTACATGTGAAAGTAAGAAAGCAGGTGTTCTGGGTTGGCTATTTGGCCTTGGGCAGGACACAACTGGAAGGGACTGAGTCAGGGTCATGATGTGGACAGGGAGCAGCTGACATCCATGTGCAGAGGAGAGGCAGAACTACTCTATTTGGGCCTGTATTCTTACCGGTGCTGACTTTCAGCTAGCATTTTTTTCTTAAGAGTATCTTCCCTGTTTATGAAAAAATTCACAGCACCATCAGAAAATAAAAGCCAGCCACACGCCCACATGCATCCCTGCCTCACCCGCACGCAGCCTGAGGATGTCAGGCAGCGTGGCCACACCTACCCGGATGCGGTTGGACCCCAGTTCCAGCATCTGCAGCTGATGCAAGTTGCTTACATTCTCTATTTTATTGATTTTATTGTTGACCAAGAAGAGTTTTTTCAGTCGTGTCAACTTGTCAATCCCTTCAATGTTTCTCAAGAGATTAAAAGAAATGTCTAGAACCCTAGGAATAAAGAAAACATTTTTTAAAAAATGAACTGAGGATGCATAGAATTTAGCTAAATTTGAGGTGGCATCACCACCCAGGGGACCACAGGGACATGTGCCCAGGGCCTGGGGAGAGAAGAAGGCAGCTATAGCCCCCGGCGGCCTGGCTCCCAGTGCTGTGTGTGAGGTAGAAACCATGTTTCCTTTACAGCTGTGCCCATGGCAGGACCTAATTTCAGGCTCTGCACACAGAAGGGACTGGAAAAGTACTAAATTAAAAGCAAAACAAAAATCAACAAGCAACAAAGAGGCAGAAATCCAGGTAAAGTTATATCTAGGACTTGACTCCTAAAATTAGAAATATCACTTATTACTTTATTTAAAAAAAAGTTCAAAAGGCAAAAGGGAAAACTATGGATTTATCTTCTCTTCTACCTAACTGTGCCATCATCCCTTAACAGAGACTGGCCAGAAGCCTCCACTGAAGCCTCCCTTCAAAGGTTTGCTTTGCAAGTCAAGGCTGCTCAGCCAGCCAGTGACCTGCACGAAGCTGACGTGCCCTCCTGGAGCCCTGGACATGGGCAGGCAGGGACCCGGGAGCCAGAGACAGGGCAGGACCCTGTGGAAAAGGTGGCCTCCCCCAGGCCAAGAGCTGGGCAAGGGCCAGCTCTGGGGAGAATGGACGCCCTCATCCATTATTTCCCTTGCCCCAGCAGGACTCACTCCAGCTCCGTCAGCGCCTCCAGGTTCTCTATCTTCTTGATCTGGTTGTCATAAAGATCTAGCTCTCGAAGACTCTGTAGCTCCTCCAGATTCTCAATGCATTTAATTAAATTTTGACGGAGGCAGAGAGTCTGGGGGACGGAAAAGGACAATTGACATAGGCAAGGGGGACGCCACAAGAAAAGCATCAGCTGTTACAAGAGGACACAGGTCAGGCCTTCCTGGTAGAAAGATGTGCTTTCATTCTGTTTTCTAGAAAGGCGCTGGCCTTCAAGACACAGGTGTGCCAGAAGGTACTCTAGAAGTGTGCCAGCCCACCTGAGGCTGGAGGCAGACCCACCAGGGAGGGATGTGTGCCACCTCCTGGCAAAACAAAAGAGCTCTTAGTGCACTCTATTCTGAAAAACAAATGTAACTGAAGTCCATTGAGGCAACGAAATCTGTCCTTCTCCCAAATAGCCAGCCAGCTGACCTGATGAGCTCCCCTCTGCTCTGGCCTGGGTTTCCTTGGCTCAGCCCTGATATCCCTCTTAAAGCCTTCTGCAAAGACAGGTGTTGCTGGGGGTTGCCTGAGCCCAGAAGGCCACCCTAGACCCTGTCTTAAGAGTATTTAAAAAAATGGGGAGATGCCTGTGGCTCAAAGGAGTAGGGTGCTAGCCCCATATACCGGAGGTGGCGGGTTCAAACCTGGCCCCGGCCAAAC